ACCAAAAGTTTTGTATAAGCTTTAAGAACTCGCTATGTATATAGCTAAAACATGGTATACACTGTGTAATGGTCAGGGTGATTTTGTACGAAGAGGTAGTGGTGGTAGGAGTGCTTTCTGTTACCCGCTTTCAACACCCAGCTCTTAATGTCATTCCACAGTGTTTCGTGTTATTAATTAGTTGACGGTCATTGGCTGCAGAAGTGTCTTATGGGATTAAGTTGTAAGGTCATGGGTCAAAGTAGAAAGTGGGTATAACTCGAGAAGTGGCTCTTCATATCAGAGTTATGGTGGCTGTTGTCCTATCAACTTAATCTGAGTTTATGTATTATTGCAACAGTGGTGACCATTTTTGTTCATTGCATTCCTCCACAGAAAGTACTAGCACACTCTCTGAGATATAATAAGACATTTGTGTGACACTGTATTTATGTTGTGTTATAAAAAATTTAATGTGAATGTTTTCTTATAGCAAAGCCACATCGAGCTATCTGCTTTGTCCACTGACGAGAATTGAACCCCTGATTTTTGCATTTTAAATCCAAAGACTTACTGCTGTCCTACCAGGGCAAGAACGTGTAAGAACGTGGCATTATATATGAATGTAGTTAACATTAACTTATGTCAAAGATATTAAGTGTTCAATAACATCAATAATAGAGGTTGTGAACCCCCATTAACATGCCCCTTGTTCCAAACTATCATCCCACAAAGTTTGCTTGAGATTGGCCCAGTGATCTAGGAGTAGTTAGATAAGGTATAAACAGACAGACACAGATGTTTGATGTAAGGACATAGCACCATCTATATATATATATATATATAGAGAGAGAGAGAGAGAGATTGCTTCTCATATGTAATTGCCCAGCTCTAACTTTAGAACAGTGTGATCAACTTGGGCCCTTATTTAAAAAAATGATGGTGAGTCATTGGAGAGTGTCAGAGATGAACTACTAAAGATATGGAGGGGTTATTCTACAGAGAAAGGTTGGAAACTCTTGACATGTCTTCATTAGCTTAGTAGGACATGATAGACCTTGTTAAGATGAACATTAGAAGCCTGGAATCTGTAAATACAAATTATATTGTTATAAAGAAACACTGCAAGAGGTAACATTTTTCAACACTAGTTTAAAATATGGAAATCTCGGACACAATTGCAGTGAAGGCAATATTACTTTTCTAACAATGGTGGGCCTCAGAAATAGTCTGTCTTCAGGTGCGGTAGAAACTGAAACACTGAAGGAGTTTAAAAGAAGATTGTGCTTGTATCTTAGGGATCAAAGTTTCATATAGAATAACGAGTTTTTATATACACGTAGCTTGTAAAAAATGAGTGCCTGATACGAGAAATGGCCCCTTGTTATCTCTTGAAATTAAAATTTGCAGATATCCCTCCAGACAGATGTATCGGGATGAAGTTTATTACTTATTTGAGATGATCTCAATGATCATGTCTATAATTATTCATTCTTTTTAATATTATTTTAAAAACAACTAATAGTGTACACAACTGTTACAGAACAAACTTACCAAAATGAGGGCTTTAATGATTTTACCAGTCAGGGTTGTAAACTCTTCCACGAGTTCCGCCAGGTAATAAAGTCCTGCCGCTAGAATTGTAATAGATCATTAGGTTGATTTATTTAAAATTATACTCATTTAATTAAAAATCCTAAAAAAAAAGGCTTATAGGATAACTTCTATACGTATATAAATATTATTATTGACAATTTTGCTAAGAATCTGTTTATAAGAAGTTCTTGGTAAAAGATCAAGAATGAAGAAATATTGGTAACAGATTTTAAAAACAAAAATTGAAGGAATGTTACAAGAATTGGTGAATTGGCCCACAGAAGTAATTCAAGATACTAATGAAATACTGAATAATGTTTAAATATTCAAGACAGATATATTCCTTATATAAAACAAGAAAGTGGCTGTGAGTAAAAGACCAGGTTAGCTCACTAAGAGTTGAAAAAATAAAATTAAAGAGGATAATAATAATAATATAAAAAGTGAGAGTTGGTCCAACAGAACATCAGAATAGAAACTTGAAAAGGTGTGTGTAAAAAAAAAAAAGGTTAGCTGAAAATATAACAATTAAGTGTTAGGATGGGAGTAAGACGTCTGAGGGATGATAAAAGAAGGTTCGTTTCCGATTATTATGAGCTGACTCGGTTACTAAATTCTACTTTTAATTTTTTACTAAACAATTTCAAGCAATATTCCTCATCCTGAACAAAACTGAATAAGATGATCACATTAATTTTGAGAGTATTAAGAAAAAATTGGTAAGTTTAAAGAATGAAAAAGCTCCCAGACGAGATAATATTTCCCCTAGGGTTTGAAGGTGATTATGTTAGCTACTCGTCATACAAGGGAAAGTTAAAATCTTTGAAGTTGTTTTCTCTTGGAGAAAAAAGGGTTACAACTTAGAGAGAATCTGGTTGGGGTGTTTTAAGTTATTTAGAAAACTGTTAGTTTTCATGGACCTTCCTTTTTCATAGTTAACAATGAGAATGGTAGGGTTAGAAGACAAAAATGTTAGTAGGGTAGGGTCATCTTCAGATAACGATCTTACTTTTCTTACATGGCGTTTTTGGCTTTTGGGATTAGTTGCCCTTTGATGTGGTGAGTGTAGTATAATGGAAGGATTTAACAGAAAGCTTGGAAAGTATCTAAGTAACGAGGAGATGGTTTGGGGTTTTGTTTGTTTTATAGTTTAGTGGGTAAACCAACATATATCACATACAAGAATTGCGTCAATGTTAGGTGAACTTGAGTAGCCAGGGTGCATTTAAAGTCTCCGGAACAAATTAATGTTACATACAACTTACAAATATAAGGACAGTGCATAGATAACTGTACTGGGTGAAATTAATGTTATACTTATTACTGTACAAATAAAAATTGTATCAGGTGTGTTTTATTGGTGTTATTTGTTAACCGAAAATCAGAAGCACTAAATTATATACAACTCCAACTGACTCTTATGAGAAAATTAAGAATTATGCCTAATGCCAGTTAACTTAATGACGCCGATGGCGTGATGTAAGCCTATTCATTTTTTTTTAGTGATTTCTTTTATAAAACTTACCCACTGCTAAAATTATTAAGCATAGCTGTACAACTGTAGAAATCCAACTTAGAAAATACAAAAACCACATTACAGTTTACAAAATTAAAGATTCGCAAAATATTTATTTTCATATGCAAATTTTATCAAAGAAATAACTTTTACCACTGTGTTATAGCTACTACGCCACCTGGAAAATTTCAAATTTAAGTGGTATGTGCGTATAAATATAAATAAATATATGAACATATAAGATAAATCACCTTCAGAATCTTTAGCTTAATTTTTCTTTTATTGATAATGTTTCGAGCAAATACTCCATTTCAAACCAGAAACAAGTCTGTTGGTTAATATCAAACTATTGCAGAATGTTTGCGCAAAACATCAAAACAGTTATTTGCGCACAGCTTTTCCTAAGTTTTAGCTGTTAAACTCGGGGAAAGTCAGATAACAGCACCTACCGCCAACTCTTGGACTACTCTTTCTGTGACTGAATAATGAAATTTGAGCATCACTTTTATAGCACACCTATATCTCCAAAGCATGGAATGCTTTTTGTTTATTTGCGGCAACGGAACGGGAACTTAGAATTCTAAGACTCACGGTCCGAACACGTTACTAAGGCCCACACCCGTCCTAAATTAAAACGCAAGGTACATCATACAAATAATTTAATAACTAGAAGTCAAAATGTAGAATACTGAATGCCTTATGATGTGTTACGTGTGTTTTTCTTCTATTATGTTATCTCTTCCCACCGCGCTCATCCAGCCCAACTTATGGTGCTATAAGCATTCAGACTTACCACTGAGCCATCGGTGTGTGTGTGAGAGAGAGAGAGAGAGTGGGACTGAGTGAATTTATCAAGTAAGTTAGGAACACGTTAGTTTTCGAGTTTCTATTGAAATGTTGTTTGTAAAATTAGGCCTACAAGTGAACATAGTCTATAGCAAACGTTATTCAAGAATATAGTAATGTGGTAATATAAGTTTGTAGACGGCTTGACTGGGTAATGAAGAAAACTTTATTATAAATGTACGACGCCGAAGATGACATTCTTGTAGAAACGTCGTATATTTATAATAAAGTTTTCTTCATTACCCAGTCAAGCCATCTCGAAACTTTTATTTTCTAAAAAGTGGGTTCCTCGTCATCAAAATTAATGCAGTATTGTTACGTTGATCGGACTTGACATTATTTTCACCAAATAATTCAAAAGAACCCGATAGAAAATGCTACAACAATGGTGTCAGAAGTGGAATTATTTTGGAGAAAATAAAACAGAACTTTGGCTATATATCAACATCAAGATGACAATATCATCACGAAGTGAGTTCGAAACTTTGCTGGAGATGGTGAAAAGTTAAAGGAATATCAAGAAGAAAGAAAAAGAAACTTTAAGAAACAGAAAATTAAAAGAAGGCCAAGAAGAAGGAGGCATAAAATTGGTAAAACGAGATGAAAATTTAAGAAGATGGTTAAAAGAAAGGCGCATAATATATAAAGAAGAATTAAGAACAAAAATAAGTCTCATTAAAGACACGACAGACAAAATTATTGGAGATGTACAAAGGATTACAACAATAAGATTGAATAATACATGAAGACGCTAATGAATTATGGAAAGGTTGTAGCGAAAATACGAAGAAGTGTAAAAAATTAGTAATATGGAAAATAGCATCAATGAAAGAATTTTGAAAATGAATTAGTAAAGATCAAACTAGGCCACACCTCTTTCTGCATCTGTCTAAAAAGTCCAACCTAAACCACAATTTACGGAATTTACAAAATACGGAATGGGAGAGACTAGTGGGTCTCAGTCTGTTGGTAATACAGCTACGTCATCTGTGACTGAACGGCCTTTCTGGACTACTTCAACAATGACACTACGAAATTAAAATTCGATGACGAGGAACCCACTTTGAGACTAATAATGGCTGGAGACGGCTTGAATGGGTAATGAAGAAAAAAATTGATTTCAGTTTAACATAACCGCAAATGTACAACGTTTCGACAAGGTTTTGTCATCATCAGGTATGACAAAATGATGATAACAAAACCTTGTCGAAACGTTGTACATTAGCTGTTACGTTAAACTTATATCAAAGTTTTTCTTTATTACCCATTCAAGCCGTCTCCAGCCATTACTACGAAATTAAGTTCTAGAATTTAGCTGGCCAGTTCAACAACATCGCACAACCAATGAACAATGAGGGAAATTACCATGGGAGTCATATTAGAACCAACTTGAACTAAATTCCATAATAGATGGGTGAACAAAAAGCTATTCATATTGCTGTCCATTTAAAAGGACCAACTTTAACGACATTAAGCAGCCTTCCGGCTGAGAGCCATGACATCTATAGCTACTCTGTCCATTAGATTTGGAGTGACACACCAGAAGAAACTGTGAGAATTTGTCAGTTTTGTTATCAGTAGTAGAGTGACGATGACGTATTTAGTTTCAGTGTTAGTTATCGGTATATTCAGTTCCTCGGTTGATTAGTAGCCGTGAAATTGTATTCGTAAGTTTATTTTAAAGTCATCGTAATATAGAATCATTATTAAAGTATTTCCGTTTGAACGTCATTTATAAACGTAAACCTGACTACAAGTTACAACAGTACAAGTGAAGTCAGGACCCACGCGATGTGTCTCCCCCCTGTGGAAACGCTGACTGTAGAACTGACTTTTTGACATTCGTTTTTGTCGCTCCAAGAACTTGCCGCCCTGTGCAAGTGGTAGCACCATCCCTGAGTGAAATGTAGAACGGTTTAATAAAATAAAGAAGCTAACCTCTAATTGTTACGTGAAAAAACAACAACATCATAACAATACGATAGAAGCATTGAGGCAAGAAACAATGTCGATTATTTTTGCGAGAGAGAAACCGAACTTTTATTGATAAATGACTGCACATATATGAATTATATTAATACATATGTATATTACCTTTTGAATATTGAAAAACAACAACAGCAACAACATAAGTTCACTTACTTTACAAACAAAACGTCATCAAACAGACTTTGGTATTTATACTAAAACTAAAGGACAATTGAAGTGAAAAAATAATTACTACTGGGCAGCTTAATTTGTATAATTACTACTGGGCAGCTTAATTTGTATAATTACTACTGGGCAGCTTAATTTGTATAATTACTACTGGGCAGCTTAATTTGTATAATTACTACTGGGCAGCTTAATTTGTTTTTTTTGTAGTTAAGCACAAACTACACTATGGGCACTGAACCTTGGTTTCTAGCCTTATAAAAC